CAAAGTTTTAAGCATTGTAGATATGATATTTGGTATATAGCTAGATTTGAGGTATGATGTATATAAATATTATTGACAATAACTGTTGTTTTGTGTGGCTAATTACATATCGACAACAGATCGACTCGATAAGCACTATAATACACCTAMYCTAATTAASGTTTATAATGAACTATGGTTAATCATAAACTGCGTTCCATTATTTTCAAAAACAAGGTGTCAAATCAGTTCCCYTTTGMCATGACTTTTTTCTAACTTTTATCATAAGCATGCTTGCATCTGTYACTCTGACAAGATTAAATACAACTTACAAATAGTCTTAATTCTACAATATTTCATAAATTCAATTAAATAAGGCTTATATGGTGCGGTTTATGCAAAATCTTAATTATGATGCCTTTCAGTTTGATTTAAAGGTTGATATTGCCGTTCTATTACTAATAACTTTAGACCATACGATTGTTTATATGGGTAATTGCTTCAGTTGTCTGATTTAGACAGAAATAAGACTGCAATATACAAGAAAAGGTTCATAAAACGTCTTGGAACTGACCGTACATCCTTCATGTCTCACAAATGTTGTGTCCACTTAAAGTTCTCATTAGTGTGCGAGCGATCAGGGAACGTTACATGACGGAAGACCCCGTAGTGTTTCCACGTGTTGCAAGCGGRGTAGCTGATCCGTAAATAAATGCTTGAGTTAGCGTTTATTGTTGTTCGATATTATGTGGAAAAATAGCATTTCTTTGTCTTCTTGTAACGTTGAAACACCAGGGAGCCTWTCTGGTTATTTTAATCCGTAAGAACATGTTGAAATGCTATGGTTTATARGAGCATTATTACCGCATTTCTATTTTAAGAACAGTGATTTTCGGCGCGCAATACTCAAAAGAACTCAACTCTATTGGTATTCCTGTGTCAGGAACCTAAGCGAACAGCCTGAGGGCAGTCTTCTCTCCTCTCTTATCACCAGATCTTCTCGGCCATACGTTCAAAACAGGAAGCCCAAAAGTCTTAATACGTACATCATCACGGTGTATTTGACACCAAAAGCAGTGGTCATTGCAGATTGTTAAGGGGGCTTTCAATTAAGGTGGCTGTGCACTTTTAAGATACAAATTAGCGTTACTTTGAACTGAAGAGGATTAAGGACCGAAGAAGAACTATATTCTAACTGTTCAGCCAGTCCTTCAGTACATCAAAAACAGTGGTCATTGCAGATTGTTAAGGGGGTTGCACACTTTCAATTAAGGTGGTTGTGCACCCTCAACGATGTAAATTAGCTTAACCTTCATAAACTAAAGGGAGTAAGGAACGAAATATCACTATATTCTGACTGCTCAGGTAGCCGTTAGTACATCAAAAACATCGGTCATTGCAAATTGTTAAGGGGGCTGTATACCTTCAATTAAGGTGGCTGTGCACTATCAACGATGTAAATTAGAGCAACCTTGAACTTTAGGGGATTAAGGGCTGAAAGATCACTATGTCCCGGCTGCCCAACGCGTCGTTTAGTACATTCAAAATAGATTTGAGAACGAGCCAAACAGGAGTCAGTCATAGTTGAGCAAGCCAAAACAATGAAAAAAATACAATTCAACGCGAGCATTGGTACTTAAAASAGTTTTTAAGTCGGTCAGTTATTAGTGACTCAAGCCCCGCTAATCCGTACAAACAATAAGGTATTCATTAATTCTGTGTTGAATAATCCGGGCGTCCATGGACTGAGAGGTATTCTCTTTAAGTCTTTACACCTTGTCCGTTGCTAAAGTATACCAGATAATAACACCGTCAATTATTGTCTTTGGTATTACTTAGAAAGAAAAGCTGTAAAAACGCCTATTATTCATCGTTGGCATTTACGCAACAACTAGTATAATCCAAGATTTGTTTAATTGAACTACAGTCAATTTACGGGAATGTTCTAGTTCCTATGATTGGACTCATTAGTTTGAGGGTAGAGAAGAGCAACGAATAGACGTGAAATAAGTCGCAAATACAAAAAAAAGTTGTTTCTATTTTTCTTTTTGAAGAAGTTAGATAGCAAATCAGTATGTAAATACTGTGTGCTGACAATAAACTGCTTCAGTTGTTTAGTAAACATCGTAATGTTTCATCAGCAATAAGCGCAAACAAGAGTGAAACACAGAATAAAATCACTTACCATCCTCGGGAACCCAGGGGTAATCTTCTGTCGTTCGTTCCTCACTCCCAGAAAAAATACCCCTGGGTTCCCGAGGATGAATCACTTACATGAATAAACTAGAACTAAAGTGCTCACCACATGATCGCGAACGAGTGAGAGATTAATTTTCAACACAAGAAGATAAAATTTCTCCAAACGACCATGAAATATTCTGTTTATCATATGATTATAAATAAATATAAATAGCTTTTTTACTTTCAATATATAGAGAAAGCTCGGAAACTATTTTCACTAGTGAAAATAACAACTTTTCGAGAGAGAAAGATAGGTATTTCATAGATAATTATATGACAAAAAGACTTATCTATTAGGCTAATTTAACCCTTAGTAGTTGCTAATTGCTTTGCTTTGTT